CTTCAAATAAACGATTAAATTAAATGTAGATGTTAAAGAGAAGAGGCCCCAAGATGGAGCCTTGAGGTACCCCACATGTCATATTTGTCAACTCGGATGTGTATTTACCTTTTTAGAAACAAAGTTTCTTATTGAAATAACTAATCATGACAGACAAACGCAGCTTATTAAGCATTCAACTTAATCTTGTCGACAAAGTTAAACAATTGAACTATGAACCTTATGTTAACAACTGTACAATTAAGTTTAAAGTAAGTAAGTCAACATTTAAAGGTGTTAACTGGGTTGGGTGTTGTTTCTTAAGCTATTCATTTATTCAGCATGTTTGAATGGTGATATGCACGGTGGAAGATGTGTAACAGGAAGAATTACCCAGATCTTGTAAGAAGAAGTAGAAGTACCAGAGTGTAGGAATACTCTGTTACAGTAAAAGTCCTGCATTCAAAATGTTACTCAAGTAAAATTAGAAAAGTATTAGCATCCAAATGTAGTTAAAGTAGCGACAGTAAAAGTAGTCATTGTGCAGATTGGTCCATTTCAGAATAATATATATGATATGTTTTATAATGATTGATCATTAAAGTGTTCTCAAAGCTGGTAAAGGTGCAGCTAGTTTGAATGACTTTGTATACTGCAGGGTAGCTTGAACTAAAGTCTGATTTAACACTTGATTATATTTCACATCATTTATCCACATCTGTGAAGTAACTAAATGTATCGTAGTAAAAAGTAGCATCAGATGGAAAATAGTCAATTCAAGTACAAGTATCTAAAAAATGTACAGTACTTGAGTAAATGCACTTAGTTACTTCCCACCTCAGTTCCTTACCCTTGTGACTTTTTAACTTAGGTTAAGGAAAATAAGTTAGGAGACATTGAAGGTCTACCTTCTCTCTGTACTTTGGCTTGGGGGTTCCGCAGTCGTCAAGGCAGCAGGAGTGCGGCACACTGACCCCCCAGTCCGTCCAGTTATGGACTCCACAGCAGTCGAGCTGAAACAGATCATTCAGAGAGACAAAGTCCTTTATCAACAGAACAAGGTGACCTCTCATTCATTCACATCCCACCTTGCAGGTCTCTCACCTTAACCTGGACATAGTCCCACTCACTCATGGTGCTATTTCCAGTCTTTCCTTTGGCCAACTCCAGACCCTTGGTAAGATCGTCATTCACCATTGTAGCAATCTGAACAGTGAGGTGAGATTTGCAGATCATGGACTGTGTGTGTGTCATCAGTGGTATGTTCACAGTGTGTGATGGACCTACCTCCCCCTCATACATGAGCAGCAGGCAGGCTGCTGTCAGCTCCACCAGCATCAGGAAGAACAGCAGCAGGAAGAACTGTCACACAATATGATCACTCTTTGAAATACACACCACATTTTTTTTTTTTACATTTCACTGCAAATGAGTTGGATGATGCATATGACTCACTTAACTATGATTTATATATAACATGATAATATTCTAAAATGCAAAACAAAATGTTGTAAATGGAGCCCCTACTTTGGGAAACACTGACTGACATTTAATATCTTAGTATAATTATATATACGTATGTTTTATAAAATGAAACAAAAAACAAAATCACATAAAATGAATTCTAAAAAGTGTGATTAGGCCAAAGAATGTCTGTAAAGTGATCTAAAATAATTAATTAATAATGTTTTTAAATATTTAAAATTAGTTTCAAAAACCAAAAGTCATTTTAATTAAGGTAACGCTGCGGTGTGTGTCCTGTGTTTCCCTTTGAGCATGTGTCACAGGTGTGTGTCAAGCTGTCATAAATGTGTCATAATTTTGAGCCACATTTTTTATCTATACACTATTTAGATCTTGGTTGTTGCTAACTATATGTTTCAACCTTGTGTTTATCAGAGAATAACTGATTTAAAAATGAACAACTGCCTTTGCTGGAAAATACACAAGCAGCCAACTATCTGGATCTCTTCACACACCTGCACTGACTCATCACCACAGGGGACGCCACAGAGAACCAGGCAACCACCAGAAAAAGGACTTTTGGCTTTAAATGTATGATACTTACATGTTTTGAAAAGCTGAATATTCTCCACACATGAACCCCACTTTATGATGATTGTAAATGCAATCGGCAGTAGTAAAAAGGGAAGTAATGCTGTAAAACAACTTCAGCACGACCGCATGCCTGGATCACCGCCGCTAAGCTAAAGGCGGCTTTGATATGAAACGGAATTAAATGCTGGCTTAATATAAAGACAATTTCAACTAATAAATACTAAAATAAATAGACTACCCTAGCTTTAAGATGGACGTAGAAATATGCTATAAACTAAGCTTCTAATTTACTCTGAGGTATTTGTGGTATTTTAATTGGCTAAACATTGGTTACACATAAAAACTAATAATTTAAAAGTATACTCAATACAAATAAAACTGTGAAAGGACCCTCTCCACATAATGTGTACTTAAAGGGGACCTATCATGCAAAATACACCTTTGTACGTATTTTATACATGAATATGGGTCCCCGGTGTGTCAGGGAACTCACCAAGTGTCAGAAAACACAACCCTCTCTCTTTTCCTCCACACCCAAATCTCTAAAAACGGGGCTTTAACGGATCTGATACATTATTAAATTTTTCTGACGTCAGAAAAGGGGTGCTCCGCCTATATGGGCAACTCTCCACCTATCAGGGGAATGAGAGACCGCTCGAAAGCGCTGGAGACACTTTAGTACATATGCCAGGCCTGTAGGTGGCGCTGTAGTCTGCCACAAAAGCAGAATCAGCCCTTGCAAAAACAGGGCTAAAAAAAAGTAAATAGAGCGAAATGAGGCATGGCTAAAATGCATGATCTGTTTGGTATGTTGAAAAAAAACTTCACAGACATGTTTTGTATAGGTATGGCCCTACAATATATGTTTCAAATATAGCATGATAGGTCCACTTTAAAGTAACCTTTCCTAATAGAGAGGTGCAGGAACGAGTCCTAAAAACAGGAAGTGAGTTAGCATTTTACCACTTGAAGAGTTTACGTGTCTAAAAAACGATGGTTGTTGGCTGAATAGGACTACAGAAGTTGTCGAGGACGTTGTACGTCATTACGCCGAACACATAAACACTCCCGCCAAGTTTGTTTGCCCCTGTTCTGCTTGAAAGCAAGTACCTGCGCTGTGTGTGTGTGTGTGTGTGTGTGTGTGTGTGTGTGTGTGTGTGTGTGGGGGGGGGGTACCGTCAGCAGGAGGCAGCGGTTCTCCTTCAGAGCTCCCAGGAAGCCGAGGAAGGACACGCAGGTGATGACGATGCCGCTGACCAGCAGCATGTTGGAGACGGTGAAGCTGGCCAGGGTGGGGGTGAGGGCAGCCATCCTGAAGCTCACCGTCATGTACACCCCGAGGATCAGCACCGCCACACCACACAACTGCCACACACACACACACACACACACACACACACACACACACACACACACACACACACACACACACACACACACACTTTACTGAAGTACACTACTTGAGTAAATGTACTTAGTTACTTCCCACCTCTGTTAATTGCTTTTTTTCAGTGTGAGGGAAAACCTACTTACATGTAACAGGTTATAAAACAATTAATTCAATAACAATCAAACATTTTAGGGATAACAAAAGGGTTATTAGTTATTACCAAATAAGTTCCTTTGCATATAATATATCAAATGTATTCTCCTGCTGTAATCCAACATTAATTTCTGTTCAAATAAAGGCCTTGTAATAAAAGTTTAACAGTTTTAACTGATGAATACTGATGTGAGCTGCTTTAACTGTATATTCAGCTTTATTGCCCATGTTTACATATTTGATAGAAAAGTAATCAATGTTAGAAGTTACATCGTTTTGATTAAGTAATTAAAATGGTTACGTTACTTATAACTATGTATTAGCTGAGCTACATCAGCCCTGCTTGATGAAAATAGATCCTGACGTGCTGCACCATAATGACGTGTGGATGTGAGGCTGGGTGTCTAGGACATACGTACAAAACAGAGTAAGTTGGCGAAACACATGATGTACTTCAAACACTTGAGGCAGTTCTGAGCCATTCTGGAACCTGATCAGACCTGCAGCGAAGAACAACAAAGTATCATGTTATCATGTACTGTATTTGTAAAGTGTGTGTGTGTGTGTGTGTGTGTGTGTGTGTGTGTGTGTGTGTGTGTGTGTGTGTGTGTGTGTGTGCGTGCGCGTGCGTGCGTGCGTGCGTGCGTGCGTAAACAACATGGTCACATTGCAGGAAAGAGACGCTGACAGATCTCACTTCCTGTGTATCCTCTCAGTTTATTTTCACAGAGAATGCGTTTCAAATCATTGTACCATTATTGAACATGACATTATGTTGTCCTCTGGGGACCACATCAAACATGAATTTATTCAGAAATGAATTGTGAATCCATTTTGGTTTTAGAACAATAAATAAAGGGAATGTTGGAACTGAACATTTAAATATAATTCTAAAACTGAACATGTTCAATTCATTTTAGTTAGTTTTTTTTTAGTTCTGTCTGTGATAGTATACCGTCAACACATTGTTATATTATAAAGACCAAAGAGAAGGAGGAGAGCTTATCTTCCTGTCATCAGAAAGAACCAAATGAAGGTGAAGAATAAAGTTGATGTCTTACCAGCTTGGAGAATATTCAGTTGTCTCTGTTTTCTGATGTTGAGTGAGCTCTGCACTTCCCCTTCTCACACTTTGTGGGGCTTTCAGCACCTCCTTCTCACTTCCTCTTTCTCACCATTAGCACCACGGAAATTGATGACAGAAGTAGAGAACAAACTGAAATAACTGCAGCAGTTTCATGCTTCATATTTATAGACAACATGTCGGAAATACCACCCGCTCTAAAACAGTGTGGTCTGAAGCGGTCAGGTTGAAAACATGGACACTGTGTGAGGTCATCATGAGCGTTTCAGAGAAATGTCCTTATTATATTTATTCAAAAGCAAGGTGTAACTAAAGTCTGATTTAAGAGTTTATTATATTTATTCAAAAGCAAGGTGTAACTAAAGTCTGATTTAAGAGTTTATTATATTTCACGTCATTAATCCAAATCTGCAAAGTAACTAAAGGTATTACATACATGTAGTGGAGTAAAAGTACAACATTTACCTCTGAATTGTAGAGGAGTAGAACTACAAAGTAGCGAAAAATGTAAATACTCAAGTAAAGTACAAGTACGTCAACATTGTATTTAAGTACAGTACTTGATTTACTTAGTTACTTTACACATTAAAATTAAACATTAAAAGTATAATATTCCCTTATACTCTAAAATAAATCAAACCTATGAGAGTGTGTTTTAAGTGTGTGTGAAACACAGTGTATTTGAAGTGTGTGTGAAACACAGTGAACCACAGTGTGTTTGAAGTATGTGTGAAACACAGTGAAACACAGTGTGTTTTAACCTGTTAAGCCCGAGAGACCCCGGTACCGGCAACATCTTGCAGGAAACAGTGTCTGAGGGCATGTTCATTTAATAAACTATGAATGTTTTATATCCATGTAACGGAAAGAAACTCATCTAACTGATCTTTTTTTTTTTTAAATCCAAAAAAAAAACACGATGCTAACGCTGAGCCTGTGGTGACCACCTATTAATACACTCAATCAATCAATCAATGTTTATTTATATAGCCCAATATCACAAATGTTACATTTGTCTCAGTGGACTTCACAGTTTGTACAGAATATCAGTATGACAATACGACACCCTCTGTCCTTAGACCCTCACATCGTACAAGGAAAAACTTCCAGAGAAAACCCACAGTTTAAAGCGAAAAATGGGAGAAACCTCAGGGAGAGCAACAGAGGAGGGATCCCTCTCCCAGGACGGACAGACGTGCAATAGATGCCGTGTGTAAATTGAAAAGATAATACATTTGCAACATAGGTAGTCCAAATGTTTGGAAATGCATGTGTGTATAATAGGAAGATGAATCCACGAGTATATCCATCCAGGACTTATGATCCAGGACCACAGCCACGGCTCAAGATCCAGGACTCGCAATCCATGACACAGGACCGCAGGATCATCCATGACTCCGGATCCTGGCGTATATAGACACCAAAAAGAAAGAAATTTGGGGAAGCTGGGTTAATCGGAACATGAGAGTACACAGGTATAGACAGAGAGAGGGAAGAAGTAAGATGTCCCCCGACAAAC